TTTCACCCTCTACACCTTCAAACTCCATTTTTGTGCAGCCTTCCCCAAGAGGCTTAAATTTATTTTAAAATATTTCAAATTAAAAACTTACAGTACAAAACATTACTGAACATCCACGCTTCACAAATTCAGTTCCCCCTTTTTTATTAATTTTTAAATTAAACAAAAATATTACCTACCAGAATTACTAGTAAATTTATAACAAAATTTATCCATTCCCGCACTTTTTTCAAGAAAATTTCGTTTACAGCTAATATTATCGTCAATTTCTTCTTGGCCAATTAAATATTTAATTCCTCGATAACACCTTTATTTTTAATTTTTTTTAATTAAAAAAATTAAAAATTGAAAACATTAAAGGCCTATCAGGATCTTTATCATTTAAAAATATTTTTTCTTCATTTTTATTTTCTTCCACAATTTTTTCAATATCCTTTGAATCAGTAATTGATGAAAAAGAGAATGAATAACAAAAATAATTATTAAAAATAATTAAATAAAATAATAATTTTAAAAAGCACATTTGTGTTGAGTGTAATAAATCCTAAAATAATTTTTAAAAAATTATATCTAGATATTCTGGAAAATTGGTCAAAATAATGAAAAACAAAAAGCAAAAATTGTAAAAAAAATTTAAAATGTTTTAAGAAATTACAAAAATTTTTCCAATGGAAGTTTTTAAATTCTTGGCTTGATTTTTAAGTTTTCGACTATACAAGAACCTAAAAAGTTAAAATATATCCATCCCTCCTGAATACAATTTCTGACAATAAATACACAATTATGTATGTTGTGTTTGTGTTAAAATTTTGAAAGGAAACATATGTAAGTATTTGTAAAATAAATACAAAAAATAAATTTAAATTTGTAAAAGAACAATTAAAGAGTTTAATTTAATTTGTAATTTTTTTATTTTTTCAATTTTGACAAATATAAAAATTAACGAAATTCTGTTTGAGTCATCGCTTTTCTCAACAGATTTAATTTAAACTGAACTTTTATTAAAAAATAATTTTAAATAAATTTTTTTTAATTTTTATATAAAATTATATAATAAATATTTAAGTAAAATAAATAAAAATTATTGAGTGATTATTGAATGACTTTTTTTTAAATTTTCTTTTCATTTAAAATTTATTTTTTTTATTTTTTGTTGTTTTCTTTTTATTTATTGATAAATAGAATTTTGATAAAATTTAACTGAAAAATTTGTTATTGGGAGGAAGATGGAATTAAAGACGAATATAAAATGAAATCAATGAAATTCTCGATCACGGTAGAACTAGAATTGCTGATTGGGAATGTTACAGTGGAATTTACAGCCTGGGGTTATTTATTAAAAATTTTTCTAAAAATACAGTAATTTTCTGAGATAATCATACATAAAAGGACAATTTGCATGTCCTTTTATTTATACATAAAAGGACAATTTTAAAAATATTTTTATAAAGGGCAATTTTTATATTTATTCGGCATTAATAAAGAATATTGAATGCCTTTATTAAAGTGCATTCATATGTATTATTATGTAATATAAATTTACCAAACTACACATTCCCTATACATTTGAATCGCACATGATAGAGTCATGGCTAAATAAAGTTGTGAAATGAGACCTCATAGTCACATCGTGACTTTGAGATCCGCCCAACATGACTGGCCTCCATTGTAGTGGCAGAAACATTTCACTAAGAAAAAAAGTTTTTAGGGTTTCGAGTATCGGGTTGAGTCAGTTCCCTTAAATTCTCCTTAATATTCCAAACCTCTTTATCACCAATTCAAGTGTTGTAAATAATATCAGGGAATTTGAAGACGGGATTAAGCGGGAATTGAGAAATTAAAATAATTTGGGTAATTTTTTCGAGCATTTTGGAAGGTCAGAAGCCAGATTTTTCCCTTTTATTGAAAACTTTTTCAGTGAAAATGTCGGATTTCGGGTAAAATGTCTTTTTTTCTTTTCTCTATGTCTATACGAATGTCTATTTTTACATGTCTATATTTTACTGCATGTCTATTTTTTTAATAAGGCAAATTAACGAGCATGCCCTCCCTCCACCTCTTAATAAATAGACGACTAAATTAAGCTATGGCAATCAAATTATTTTAATATTTTTTAATAAAAAATATTTACATTAAAAATAAATTTTTTTTATTTAAAAATTTTTCTTTGTCGGACTTATAAATAATTATTTAAGTAAAAATATTAAAGATCGCCTTGAAGCTGCCTAAGGAAAAGTTTGCTTCCTGAGGTGGCTGAAATGTTACTCATTCTCAATCACAACTTAAAAATTTATGCTTTTTGTATTAATAAAAATTTTGTTTTAAATTTATTTTTCCAAAACTAAATTTAAAAAAAACTAAATTTTTAAAATGGGTTATGTACATCCAAGTTTTCTATTTTCCATTACTTCTCCACTATCCATACTGTTTTCAAGGAGTTAAGGAGAAAAAATACATATATTTAAAAAATTTAGCTTAATTTTAACCAATTTGATTTACAACACTGTAAATCAACTTGTATAATCCCATCTCCAATACTCAGTTTTATTTCAAGTTCATTTTCACTACAACGCAAATTGTTTCCAAATTAGGCTCTTGTTTCCTCGATGTGGGGAAACTTTACAGGCCTAACAATATATTTTCATATTTTTTAGATTATTTAGATTAAATAACATTCCTTTTCAAAAATGAGAACTTGTAATTATTTCATCTTATTAAAATTCATTTTGATTCTTGATTATTCATTAGCTATGTATAGAAACCAGTACGAACAAATGATGCAAGTTTAAAATTTATTTTTAAAATAAGAATTGAGTGAATATTTTTCTGAATTAACTAATTTATGTTTTAAAATCTAATACTAATATAGTACACATAATTTAGCATGGTACTTCTGGAAATGGGATTAACAATAATGGGAATGAATCAGATGGAAGTCGATCTGAAAATGGATCGGATGTAAAATATTATATTTAATTAAGTAAAGCTTTTTCCAGTTTCCCAGTGCCTTTTAAATGGGGTTATTAGATTGGAGTATTGCATGCGTCCATGCGTGAACTCTGCAGAGTTATAAGCAAGCGCAGTATATTGGAGAGTTTCGGATTGGGAGACGCATTCCCTCCGGATGGATTACTAGACTATCTGACGTATAAAACTTCCTTCACAAGCAGGTGGGCTAATTCATAGAAGAGAGGACTAGTGACCTTATTTTCGCTGTTTTCTCTAAGCTTTTATTGCTTGCTCACTTGTTCCTAGAAATGCCTCAAGGCTAAGTGCTAGTGGCTTATATGATCAGATAAGTAAGCTTATTTGTTTTCTGGGAAAGGCCGTCTGTGCTAAATTTAGGACTTTTCTGTGAACGTCCGTTACTTAGTCCAAACTTTAGAGCGATATTATTCTTCAATTGACTTAATGATGTTCTCGGTATAATTTCACATAAAATCATAGTCTCAGTTAGAAAATAAAAAGTTTGACTGGTAATTTAAAATTCTATTTATACAAAGATTCATTTTATTTTTTAATAATATTTTGTTAATAATTAAGCTTATCGAAATTAACCTTGACAATGTGAATTCCGTACAGCATTATGAGAATCACAACGGTCCAATTCAGCAACTCAACTATCACTTGGTGATTTTTATAAGAATTAAATAAAAAATTAATTTAATAATCTGAAATAAAACTCCAAGTTTTAACACCGAGATAGAGGTTATAAGCTTACTTAGGTTTTCTATAGTAAATATTATTTTTGTTTAGGTTACAATCTTGGTGTCTATAATATTCTTTTATAATCTATTTAGTTTTATATCAAGTTATACATATAATCTGTTTAGTTTTTAGGGCGATATTTTTTACCGATATATCTCGGTATTTTCTAGTATTTGAAAGATTTATAAATTTTCTTCATTTTTTTCTTATTCTTTAAATTTTTGTCTATAACTCTAAAATGAGTGCTAAATCATTTAGATTAACTGGTCTGTTAAATGGGAGGAAGTGAGATTAAGTAAGAAAACTTTTAGATTCAAATTGAATAATTCTAAATAGGATTCGGCATTTAATAAAATCCGCATTATGTATCTCTAAGTCAATATTAGCTTGAGAGAAGATTAGGTGCCTACAATATCAATCTAGATAAAAAATATTTTAAAATAATAATTCCGACAAATTTATTTAAATAATTTATAGACCCCTGACCAGTTGATAGATGAAGAGTTACAAAAGAAAAAGATAGAGGAACAGATCCGCAAAGATCACATGGAGAAAGAAACTAAAAAGTTCAACAAAAAACATGCGCGTGCTAATAGGAATTGCTGCAATATTTTGTGAGGAATATTTGAAGTTTATTTAAAAACTAAAAAATTGTATATAGTAGTTGGTAGAATTTCGACTAAAATTAAGTCGTTTAAATGATTATTTTTATTTAATCATATTTTTTCCCAAACAACCTATTTAGTAAATAGAAAATTCTTTTATAAAATTCCTAGCTTTATTTAAGCTAAATCTTTTGTAATCGTATTAAAATATAATTTTGTTAAAATAAAAATATCCGCAAACATAAACAAACTAAAATTTGTGTATTAATTTATTGTACGACTCAGAGAATATACATACATATTATAGCTTGTGGAAATCAACGTGATATTATTAGTCTTTTATATTTAAATTTTAGTAGAATAAATTTTAGACAATTAATATTTATTGTTAACTTTATTATTCGTTATAATAGGTACATATAACAAGAAATGAAATTTTCTAATATAAGTTTGCAAAATTTGAATATCCGGAACCGGAGAATGACTGACACATCAAGATTTTTGATAACCCGACTAAGGATATTCGGATAAGCGATGGCGATTCTTTAGGAACCGCCAATTCCTTACAGAATTTATAATTAGTAATAAATGACTTCGTTAACAATTAACAAGATAATTTACTTTATATAGAAAATTTAAGGACTTTTTCATGGGAGCAAATAATTTTAAATTTCATAAAATTAATTAATACATATCTATTTAATTTTTGGATCTTTAGCATCCATTGGTGCTAAACAAAGTCCAGTCTTTACTTCACATTTTGAATTTTTATACCAAGTACAGTCAGAATCTCTACGGCATCGCTGTCCTTTTTCATAAATAAGTATATTTCCTGCATCATTTGTTCTTTAATTTAGAAAAAGATTTAAAAATAAATTTAATTACTCTTACGGATTATAATAATTGCATGAAATAAGTGTTGTATTATAACAGGGAGGTTTCTGTAATATTTTATATATTAATTAAAATAACATTTAACATAAATTTTAGCCCTTTTTCAGAAATTAAAATAATTTTTCCCACAATTAATTTTTGTTTTGATTACTGTGATAATATGGAGGATATTTATTATTGAACTAAGGTATTGTCAAAATAGTTTTTTGGCTAAATTAGAGAGTTACACCAATTCAGAACATAGATAGACTCATTCCAGCTCTGTTCTGACACCGAAAACCGCTAATTACAAACTAGTATATATTAATTACCCAATTAGAACACCAAGATTGTGGCGGACAAAGTTGAACACCACAAAATATTTCTGTCGTGTGAGACCAAGCCATCTTAATAAATTTAATTAAATCTAGATTAACAAAAAAACATACAGGGACCCAATGTCCACATTTATCAAATACTTTGTCAGTAACTTGTAAATTGTTTTCATTTATAGGGCAAACATTCTTTTCACCCCACCAGCCATTTGCTGCACCAAGCATAGCTTCAGCTTTAAAATTTTATTTTAATTTGAATATTAAATTTCTTTTAAATTTTAAATAACCTTTCAATTATTTTAAAATAACTATTCTAAAAATTATTTTGTTCAATTTTTTAGACAATCTACATATCGTTGTCTCTTCATTTTAAAGGGATCTAAAAACTTACTCAAATTATCCATAGCCCAACTGTTTGCATACAAATTTTCGCCATACCCAACAGTACCGGGGTGTTCCATTTTACAAATATTTGCAGTTTTTTGAGCAATATATTCTTTATTTTTGTTATAACTCTAAAAAGAATTTTTCTTTTAATTTTCTAAAAATATTTATTTTTAATACAAATTTATATATATTTTTCCCAGTCGGCAAATTTCCTTTGGCATCTTTAACTTTCCCGTTGACCAATTTTATACGGAAATCGTTGTGAGCATTTAATATTACATTTCTAAGTTCATCAGTCATTTTAGCTTGATTTAAACCTATTTTTGCCGATGAAATTTTTGATAATTGAAGGCATACTTAAATTTTAATAAATTAAATAAATTTTTATCAAATTTTACTTAAAGGAGAATTTATTTATGATATTATGATAACTCTAACTAAAGGCCCTTAGTAATTATTTCTTAACTTTGAGGGGGTAATTAATTAATTTTTAGAGAGCGAGAAAGGGTAATTAATATAGAAAATAGAAAACTCCGAGATTTTATTTAAGGTTCTACTATTGTTTTTATAAATACATAGAAGAATATAAATAATTTTTAATAAATTTAATATTAAATTTAAAATTTGAACGAAATAAAAATTCCACAAAATATACAATTTCAATTTTTTGACTACCTGTAAAGAAGAGAAGAGCAATCCTTAATATAATCATTGTTTTATTTTAAATGATTTTATTTAAATTTTATTTTAATATTCGTTAAAATCTATATTCTTTATATACATATGTCCACATTTATTTAAATAGATGCCGGGTTTTATAAAATATTATAAAATAAAAATCTTCTCACTATTAACAGTAAATTTTATATTTAGTGACAAAGACGGAAAGGCTAGAGTTAAATTTTTTAAATGCATTAGAATTAAATTTTATTCCGTCCAACCATTTAATCACCATCTATCCAACTAACTAACTAACAAAATTCCACGTTTTTCCAGACAAATCCAAAATTTTATAAATTTAAATTATGAATTTTTAAACCATAAAATATTCTAGAATTTTTTAAACAATTTATAAGTTAACTACACCTGCTCTTATTGTACTTAGAGTGGATGAGATTTTAAGGATTGCAAAGAAGATTTTTTTCCTCAGGATATGCAGGAGGCGGGTTGGTATAAAGGATAACATCAATCCGATCAAATGAAGATGCTGGTTCGCTCCCAGTCACCGAATTGAAGTAGCTAAAGGAAGAAAAAGGCCTAGTTCAGCTTTAGTGTATTATACATACTACATATATCCTTTTTAGTGTTTTTTTTTAATTTCCCTGATTATCAATAAAAAATGAAGAATTAAATTAACTATTTTAAATTCGTGACTCAGATTTAAAAAAATTAATTATTTAACAATAAATATATTTTATCTTAACATTTAAAAATAATCCTATTAAATAGTCTTTTCATTTAAAATTAGGTACAAAGTCCATATTGGCATTTCAACTGTCTATTCATATCTACAGGACATCCACTACATACTGGACCTGGCTCATATATTTTTTCATTTACATTATTTCCTCTAAGATTAAAATTTATATTCAATGGTATTTTAGATTAAAATTACGGAAGATTATATTTGCAGAAAACATGAGTCGGATACATGCTATTAGGACAGTAGGTTATGCCACAACCAACTCTTATAGTGTTTGCCCATGCCATCTAAATTTTTTGAATTTAAAAATTAATACATATCATCCAAAATTATTTCAAATACATTTAATACTTATTTAATATACTATAACTTTACTGAACTAGGTACTTTTCGGTTTTGTTACACCCCCATATATTAATGCTTAAAATGTCACATATAAGGTAATAAAAGGTGCTGAGTCGAACGGTACCTTTCTTTTTCCCAGGAGATGTCTGTGGACCGAGATATAGGGCTCGAAATGGTCAAAAACCATAGGGGGGAGTAAGTTCATTTTTGGGGTAAAAATTCGATTATACAAATAATTAGAGATCGGCCGGAGGGGTCGGTCGATATTTTTCGATAAATATCGAAAAATATCGAATATCGAAAAATATCGAAAAACTCAAAATTTTCTCGGTCGATATTTTTTCGATAATTATCGAAAAATATCGAAACCGAAAAATATCGAAAAAAAAGTCTCGATATTTTTCGATTTTTCAAAAAATTTTTATAACCAATGAATAACAGAATAGCCAAATAGTTTAAGGAGATTAAGATTGATTAAATGGGATATTGGTGGATTTGGACGGATTAATTTGAATATCAAGGGCTTGTATTTGTTATCGAAGGATCAAGTGGATATAACGGATTCTCGCGAAGCATAATGGATTAAGGAATTAAGGGGGATATTGGAAGACAGTGTAACAAGAGATTTAGAGGTAGTAAGACGGATATTGTGGATTTGAGAGATCAGGAGGGATATCAAGGAATTTGTGGATTAAAAGAGATATCTCGGATAAAATATCTTGGCATTTGGTATTCGTTTAGAAAACCATCTCTCCCAAAGCTCCGTCTTCATCCTCGAGATCCATTTTATCCACTTAATCCTCTATTAGTTATACAAATAGTCGATTACCCCGGATATCCACAATATCCGTCATGCTCCTTGGATATCTCAAATATCCCAACAAACCTTCGGATATCCTATAAAATTACTCTTAATCTAGTGAAATCTCACTTAATCTGCCGGAATTTTTCTTAATTCATATCAGTGTTTTGTAGGGATATTGAAGGAATATGATGGATTAAGGGGATAAGAAAGGATATTCTAACAATCTTATGAGAATCTCGGAGGTCAAGTTGCAAAATTCTTCCATTTATAGCGCCGCAGGCAAAAATTTTTCGAATTTATGATGGTCAGGAAGCTAAAATTCATCCTTTTTGACGCCAAAAATTCAAATTTTTGTCAAAAATGACATTCGATATTTTTTTCGATATTTTGTATTTGGTCGGTCGATATTTTCGATATATAAATTCTTTCGGTCGATATTTTTCGATAAATATCGAAAAATATCGAATATCGAAAAATATCGAAAAAGTAAAAATTTTCTCGGTCGATATTTTTCGATAAATATCGAAAAAAAATATCGAAAAATATCGAAAAATATCGAAAAAATATCGTATCGAGCCGATCTCTACAAATAATACCCCATTCGAAAGAGCTTATGGAGCTGAGTCGAAAGACACCAAGATCAACGAAATCTGATTTGATTTGACCGAGATTCAGGTCCCTGAAAATTGAAGAACCACACAATTTTTTGTATCGTAACTCGGTCCAAACTTGTTCGAAGACGGTAATTTTGATGTCATTCGATCAGCTCGTCGAGCTCGTTCGAATGAGTTATTATTTGCATATTTGAATTTTTTACCTCAAAATGGCCCAATGGTTTTTGACCATTTCGAGCCATTTATCTCGGTTCACAGACATCTCCTGGGAAAAAGAAGGGTACCGTTCGACTCAGCACCTTTAATTACCCTATATGTGCCATTTTGAGCGTTAATATAGGGGGGTGTAACAAAACGGAAAAGTACCCTGAACTAAACTTCTCTATTTATCATATCAAGTTTTTAAATCATTTCACCTGACTAAATCTTATCGGATATCGGCCTGTTGTTGTCATCATTAAATTCGTAGGTACTCCATATTCTATTGCCTCTGTCCACCAATTATCTAAGCAAGTCTTGAAGGCTTTCGCTGCTTTATTGGTTAAATGATATATTAGATTAAATTAATTTCCTTTTAAATTTTCATACTATATGTCTCATTCCATCCCAAAAAACATCCAATCTCTGTTTCATTATTAGCAACGAGGCACATATCACTCCGTGCTTGGGCACTAGCCTCACAAGTAGGGCAATATAGCTAATTTATAAATTAATAATTATAAATTATTAATTTAACTATTGTCCACATATTTTTAGCAGTTGGCAAGAATCCTGTCATGTTATGAGTCTTTCCACCTGCAAGTTGGGAGCGTCTCCAATTGTGAGTGTCTTGAATGAATTGTTGATCGCTAGCTGATAATGCATGAACTTAATTAGAAAAAATTATATTAAATTATTTGTAAAATGATGATTTTTAAATTAACAAATTAATTAGTGTTAATTTACAAGAGGAGGGGAGGTATGAGGGATAATTAATTTTTCTTCAGAAATAAAAATAATGAGTATTATTTAGCAACAGTTATTTGTCAACATTTTTTTAACTATTCTATGTATATTATAAGAAATATTTATCTCAATTATAATTTAACTTACTTGAATTTATGAGGTTATTCTGTGAGACAATCACATTAATTAGTAAAAAACTCAAAAAATACATCAAGAATAAATTAAAAATTGGAATTAATAAATAATAAATTAATGTGAGTAGGGCTTAAAGGAACGTTGAAAAATAAAACTTTTAAATTTATATTTATTTAATTTTTATTTATAAAGAAAAGTTAATAGAAACTTTTTATATCAATTTAGTAGACATTAAATATAAAAAATATTTTTAATTATTTAAACAAAAATATTTACAATTTTTAAATTATCTCATTAAATATACAAAATAATATTATTTTTATTTAGTTAGCACTTTATACACCTGCATATTTTTTAAATTTTTTTTCATCTAATTATTTTAAATAAATATTTTTCAATTTTTGGAGACATTAATTTTAATAATATTTTTAAGTTAAAATATTTTATGGAAAATTAAAAATAATAATAATATTTTTTTGAATTTTATTAATTAAGTGCAAGTTTAAATTAAATAACTCAATCCAGTTTGTTTTTTACTCAGTTTTTTTTAAATTTATGAAGAATAAAAAAATTAAGAATACACAATAGTACATCGTATTAAGCTAAACACCTGACAGAAACACCATGTCAAAATATCTTCTTAATAAATAAGCAGAATGGGTCTCGTGCAGGATTCTACAGGATTGCAGGATTCTACAGGAGAACGTGCAGGATTCTACAGGAGAACGTGCAGGATTCTACAGGATTTCCCTCACCAGGCGGAATTTTGATCGGAAGGTGTCTGTCTAGAAAGTGCTTTGTCTGGAATGTCTTAGCAATTTATTTATCACTTTACATATATCTAAATTATCAAGACAAAAACATCTTTTTCACTTAATAATTATTTTATGATTGAACATTTTGTATAATTGGATGGACGGTTGTTGGTGTTTGTTGAATTCCAAAACATTTAATTAAAATTAACGTTTTAATTAATTTGACTTCTTTTTTGTATGCCTCTTTGTAATCGGTACTGAAATAAATTTAATAATCAATTAGCTAGAAATTTAAAGAAAATTGATAAGGATAAGGATATTCACAAAATGAATACCCCATCTCTTTTAAATCCTAATCTATCTTATTCTTAAACATTTTTACCTGTTAATGTAAAGAATTGGAGCATTTGAAGCACATCCAATATTTACCAACACCCCTGTAAGTATTCCATTAAGATTCGAATTAGCAAAATTTTCAGAAGGAAAAATTAAACTATTAATATTTTTAATAAGAAGTCCAAGAGTATAACAACCAATATTAACAAAAATAATTAAAAAGAGAGATCTGTAAACTTTTGATATACTATTTTGATCAGAAGGAGCTAAAATTATTGTTAATTAATAATATGTATACCTATATAAATTTATTATATGTTAAAAGCTTAAATGAATGATCTGGCATTCTATCGTGGTTTTCTCCTCGAGGGTATTCTTTTAAATTATAAAAAAAGAATAGCTTCTTTATAGCTTCAAGTATTTGGGGTGTGTAGAAATATGTATTCTTGTATCTCTCAAAATCTAATTCCATTTTGGGTTTCGTATCTCGTAAGTTACTATGAGAACTGGATAATTACTAGCGTTAGAAAGTTATCACTGTTTAAGTCATGTGCCATTCAATGATCAGTTAGTTGGATTGTGAAAAATAAATGATTCTTTACCCTACTCATTTTGACTAAATTTTTTAAAAGGACCTTCTCTATATTTTAATATTAAACCAACAGCAAAATAAAGGATGATTGAAGGAAAATAAATTAAAATTGAAATAGAAACTGGAATTTTCATGTCGTTAGATATCACATTGAGAGAGGTAGGTATATTTCCATCAACTGGCAAATCATAAGAAAATAAAGCTGTATGTATAATTTTATAAAATATAAAGCAATCAAATAATAATATAATAGAAATGTGAACACAAATATATTTCCTCATTTTGATGCATTGATAACTGAAAAGTTTGATAATTAAATATATAATGGACTGGTCTGTTCAGGTAAAGTACGGAGGGAATTTTAGGAAGCTTAGTTGAGTTTATAAATAAAATTTTAGAGAAGAAAATTTATTTAAAAAAATCTTTTTTGAATTTTTGGTTCAGTATCTCACAAACTGGGAAAGTAAGTGTTGTTATTAATAAAGATCTATATAGTTTCCTTAAATATTTTATTGCTTTAATCAAATGAGTATTCCAATAGAAATAAAGCTTTAATTATTTAAACTTACTATATTGGAAATGCTGCAGCCAAAAATCTGTCAAAACTTAGAGAATTAAACATTAGAAGCGATGACGTATAACCAATAACACTTTGTGTGTTGAAATAAACTGATTTTCCAAACGGAATAATGTTTTTTCCACTCAAAGCTAAGAATAAGTAGAAAAAATGTCCAGATTGGTGAAGAATTTCAAAAAATGAATAAAATAAAATTAGAATAGATGTGTTGCTTCTTAGTGCTGAATATTTCTTTCTAAATAAATAAATACCTATTTAAATTAAATATTTCTCTTAATAATTTTAAATTAAAAATCTTCCTAAATTAAACATTTTTATAATTTATTTTCATATGTAGCATTTCACTCCTCCATTATTACGTATACAGGTAGCCTTCGCTTGTACATAACGCACTTCACGTCACTCTCACATTAGCGCTTTATTATTTGATTGTCAATTGGAAAGTGTTACCTATATACTATGTACTTTCAATTACATCCTGCTAAATAAAACTTTCATTTGTCTGCCATTTATCAAATTTATTTACATTTCCAGATAGTTAAAAATCTTACGTTAATGTGAGACTAATACCACTTATTTCATTCCACTTTATTTAAAATTCTTTACTAAAAATACCTATATTTAATTGTTATATAGCAAACACTCAGATTTAAAGGTATTCCAATTAAAGCAATTGTAGAAAGGATTAGTGCAGGTATTAAAAATAATGGAAATACACCAGCATTTTTGTATACCAAATAATTAGTCTTAATTTATAGTAAAATGGGATCCCTAGTTAGATGTTATACTTTCTTAATTCTTTATATTCTGCGCCGAAGCGGCTGAACCATACCCAGATGTTAAGGGATATTGTAACGGGGAGGATGTGATCGGGACAATCCTAGAAGCTCCTTAGGGTTGATCAAGTCCTTCGGATTCTTCCCAACACCGAAACACACCGAAGTAATAAAACGCTTTATTTACAAACTAGGAAAATACGAATAATAAAATATCAGTTAGCTAAAACATAATAATAATGGAATAAAAGGGAAAGCTAACAATAATAATAAAGAACCAATTGTAAGTGAGAACAAAGGAATTAAACAGTTGTAAAGTGGGAGGGATAAAATGTTTGTTCACATGAAAATATCGGAAATAATATTGGACATTGAACCTCTATACAAAATACACAATTTGCTCGGTATTACCTTCGGGATTCGATTCTGTCTTACACGTCCCTTCCTTTACTAGACCGTCCCTGGTCGTTAAATTAATTTATAATAGATTTTTCTTTTATTAGTGGAGATGACCGAAATCAAATTTTCTGAGCTGCTTGAGACTGTCTCATTTTATGACCCATTTTTGAAGGGTCATTTTTCCATCCCGAGGGCATACTAGATTCACTCCCCTTATTTTTCTAGGACCGTCTCTGGTCCGAATGAGTATTGTCAAAAGCTAAGAATTATAGTGTGCCTAAGCACTCCGCGAATGCTGTATCCATATTTTAATTATTTTCAAGAGACATTCTCAATTACTTTTTTATTTGATTTCGGACATCTCCACTAATTTTAATATAAATATTTTTGTTTCCCTAAGGAATTGTATTATTTTTGGCAGGTATACCGAGCTTCCATATGTCAGTTATGTGAAAAAAATGGTTTTGGGTATGAAATAGCTGTGTTTAAATGGCATTTTGGGAAAAAAAATTGTGATTGGAATATGTAAAGATTGGTAGATAACGGTAAAACATAAAATGAAGTGGCAATGTAATTAATTGTAAAAAAATCTATGAAATATACGGTTTTTGAATATTTTTAGCAAATTTTGAAGGGAAAAAAAATTGTTAAATTGAATTTTGTAAAATTGAATTTGTAACTAAGCGGAGAAGGGCAAATAAGACTAAATAGAATTGAAGTACAATTTCTCAGATGTAATGTTATTAATTGTAAAAAAATTAAGTGATTTAGTTGGGATATTAGAATATTAAAATGACATTTTGAAAATTGGTGGGTAAAGAAAACTGCTTAACATAAAAAATTATTGGTGATTAAATAGTTAATTTAAAATAAATTATGGCTAAAAATGAATTCACCTAAGTAAATGTTTTAAATTTCATAAAATTAATTATGACAAATAGGGAATAAAGTGGCAAAATTATAATACACTTATAATTAAATCAATAACTTAAGTGGTAAAAATAATGTATATGAGTGTCAGAATTAAATATTGCAAAATGAGAACAGATTATATGTAAATTAATTAATTTGGGACAATATATTTTCATAAAATTAACGGTGTTTTGATGGGATTCGAACCTGTTTACAGAATAAAATTTCGTATGTGTGAGAATGAATGAGTTGAAAAACATATTCAGTAACATGTATTGAGAATAATATTTTTGAAAAAAGGAGTAAAATTCACATATTTTAAACATTTAAAAGGAGAAAAGGAAGAAGATTTAAAATTGTGAAACTTAATTATTGGGACGAATAATAAGGGTAATAATAAAAAAAATTTTATTTTAATTTCTTCTAACGCCAAGAATTGCCACCATTCCATTTATTAGAACGAGTCACGGTCCTGCCAGCCCATTGTTTCCAGTTGCTGTCTTTCCTGTAATAAAAAGGGTTAGTGTTTTTATTTGTATTCCCCCCATCATCCCCTTCAAACCAGTCTTCTCTTCTAACATTCCTGTTAGAAGATGTACCACTCGTGCTCGGTTCATTTCTCCAACATTCATTTCGACGGGTGTTTGTCCATATTTCTTGTTGAGGCTCAAAAGGGATCTCATCCGAAAAGTCAGATACAGTTCTGCCATCAGCGGAGAGAAGCTGTCCAAAACGATCTCGCTTGCATCGACCACTTCTCAAAACATTCAAATATTCGGATCCAACAATATGAGTGTACTCAGACGCCTTATCGAGGAATCTATTCCAAACTGTGCCGCTCCGAAGAATCTCAACATCTCCAACAAGAAACAATCCATGCTTTGCTCTACTAAGCGCTACAGTGGCACGACAATCATCCCGAAGGAAGTCCGAAGTGTCACCAAGGTTGCCAATGTTACGGCGAGACCTAGTAGTTACGAGCACAACCAAATCACTTTCCTGGGCTTGATACCCATCTACGCTCACTACAAGAACATTCCAACCAAGATTTTCAAACTCTTTTTGGAGGCATTCTTTTTGATACAAATATAAACAAATTACTACAAGAGAAACATCCGGAGAGATATAATTGTACAAGGCGGAAACCAAATTTACCACCGAAGTGGTCTGTTCATCGTTAGTCAGCGAATGAGAAACAGAGTCCTGTCGACAAGTACCAATGATGTTAAGTAAGACTATTGGCACATTTTGCATCGGAAGAGGAAAACGAGACAAAGTCAACAGAGTCCTGTCTTCTTCAGCTGTTCCAGGCTCCAAAGACTCACCATGTTGTTCATATGAAGCATACGAAACAATATGGACCAACAACGGATGCATGCGGTAGCACGTAACCAACCGTGTGTGGCGGACTAAGGAGGACCCTACCAGTTGATCAACCATCGACTCCAGTCCAAAACCTTCATGGAGAGAACTCGGCAAATCCTGAAGATGAACACCCAACTGGTATTTATCACCAGTGACGAGAATCTTTTCAAGTTTTGGCAAACGACAAACAAGATTAGCCAACTCAGCAAAGGAACCCTGCGTCGCCTCATCAAAGATAAGCACCGAAGTGTCAAGCAACGCATTACCAACCATCTCCTCAGCCATAGTTGAAGTGGCAAAAACAATTCTCAGTTGAGAAATTTCGGAGAACATCGACCCTATTCTTTTCTCCTTTGTTAGCCTTGGCCTTCTTTCAAAATTTTCACTATATTCTCTACAATCTCTCCTCATTTCATTGTCCATTCTCTCTTCATTAAGTGCCAACTTGGAGATAAGCATGTGCTGCCGAAGCTCATTGATCGAATCCCTATATTTTTCCTTTGCGTAGCCAGAAAAGAAGGCAATCGCGCCGGAATCTTCCATTTCCGCACTACCAAGAATTTCTTCCAACTCCTTTGCCAACTTAGCGAGTGGTAAATTCGCAGCAGTTATGACGGCAACCTTCACATCATTCAAGACCGACAACAAAATGGCAACAACAACAGAAGCGACGTAGGTTTTACCAACACCAGGCGGCGCCTGTTGAAATGTGAATTGACAACCATCTTTCAACAAACTCTTCGCTGTCACTTGCTGTCTTGCATTCAACAATCTCATTAGAGGATGCATCTGTTCAATCACCGAAGTGTCAGAGTCATCTTCATCCTCATCAATAACTTCAACTTCACGAGCCAACAAAGCACGCATGAGTTTACCTTGGTCGGTGTCCGTCCTTGCAATTCTAGATGGAAGGTTGGAAGCGAAGCACTCTCTACGGCTCTCTAAACCTTTAAACAACACCGGATGGACAACAATATAACCCCTGTCCTTTGCATACTCTAATTCCTCGACAACGTCACGATTTTTCCGCTCTTGGCTGCTCACAATTATAACCACGACCCAGAAATCAAATTTTTTATTATTCCCGAAGGAAGGAGAATCACGAAATTCAACACTTGTAATAGCACCGATAGCAAAATGTGGTAAATGCATCTCAGACTTAAGCATTACTTGGTCATCGACCTTCCACACGTTTTTCAATTTCTTCACTTTACTATTATCAATATTGGAGAACCGAAGTTCAAATCTATTA